AAGGTTCTTCAGAAGAGAAAATAAATCTTCACAAATACTCCCTTTTCAAAAAATTTATTTTCCCCAGACCACCAGAGCTTTTTCAGCTTTTGACAGGCTTATTGTTGGAAATTGTGTCACCCATCACTATAGAAAAAAATCCTTGGTGTCTTCTTTTTCTCATTCCTGCACTTTTACACTGTATTTTTTTTTTGTGTCTCAGAGGGTTTAAGGAATAAATCTGTATTTTCCTGAGGATGTTTAAAAGGAAAAAAACAACAACAAAAAAAAAGAATCTGAAAATCTAGTTTTAAGACGGAGCTGAATAAAGTTACAGAAGAAATCAAAGCCAGGATTGTTTTGAGAGAAGTTCCTTCAGTCCTGTGTTCCTACAAATAATGAGTATGGAGGAAAGCCAGAGGGAAATTATATTTCTGATGCTTGAAATAAGACCTGCCTGCTAAAATCTTGCATTTCTTTTGTGGTTCACGTGAGAAAGAAACTTCATCTCCACGTCAAGCAGTGACTGAAGCTGAGTTACAGAAAGTCTCTGGAGGCACAACTGGCTCTTGTCTCATTGCATTCCTGTTTTCACAAAGGCTCTGGGAAGGTGGGGATGGTGAGAAATTGGCACTCAGAGAACCAGAAACGAACCCATGTCCAAACAGAAATGGGTGAGGGATGGGATTTCACCCTCTGAAGACCTTTCAGTTCTCCTCCTCCTCTGTTTGACTCCAAACCCTGTTGTCACTGTGGTCACCCTGGTTCTCATCTCTGCAGTGTCCATCCAGTGAGCTCCAGGTGAGCCCAGGAATACCCTGGGCTCAGGACAAAGGGACACATCGAGGCTCCCAGCCCTTCCTCTGTGAATCCACCTGGCTCCGAGGAGCTGCCACGTGTCCCCTGGATATTCTGGCCCTGCAGATGAGACTAAACATTTCTGCAGCTCCTTCAGCCTGTGGCAACCCTTGGAATTGTATTTAATTAAGGAGTATACACAAAGGCTTTATTTGCAGCAGCAGACTGCACAGTAATACTCTAACAATTCCTGGGATCCATGGGGAAGGAAAACTCCCATTAATAAAGATTTTGGTTACAGCTCCTCGTTATGTGAGAGCTGCTGCAGATCTCAGGGCTGCAAGAAATCACCTGCAGAAGAACATTCCCTTCATGTTTCTGCTCAGGGATCAGAGTATGGGTGGGAAAAGCCCTGACAAACCCACCACACCTTGACACGGTGTTTTGGGCATGCCAGGAGGGATTAGTGAGGGGTGCTTCCCACATTTCAGTTCACCCAGCAGGGATATTCCCAAGAAACTGGATTACACTTCACCCTCTGATGTTAACGTGAGCTAACCAGAGCTTGTCATGCTTTTTGCTTGATATTTACTTTTTTTGGATGGGAAATAGGAATTCATGTGCTCCCCAACCCTTTGTCTGTGTGGCCTGTTGCCCACTGCAGTGAGAGAGGCCAAACCCCAAAATCTCTGCCTTTTCCATTGGAAAAAAATCTCAAACCAAACCACACAACATAGTAAGAAACAGCCTAGAAATGGAGAAATTGTAAGTGGGTTTGTACAAAGCTGTTTATAAAGTCTAATTCAACTTTTCCAGGAGGAATAGATCAAAGAAAGATAATTATTTAGCCCCTCTTCCAGGGAATATCCCCTTTGACAGGCAGGACTCACAGCTCTTGAGGGCTCTTTCCAACCATGAGCATTTTGTCACCTGGGGGGGAATTAAGGCAGCTGAACTTTTTCCTTTGCTCACCACATACCCTGATGTCCCACCAACAAAAAAAACCCCACACTTTCTATTTCCTAACGATTCCCAAAAATGTGATGTTTTGGGATTATTTTTATTCCATCTGCCTTTATCAGCCTGTATCAGTGACAGCTGTGACACGTGAGGGTTATTGCTGTTATCACTGAGGAGGCTGAAGGAGAGTTGCTGTGATAGAGTTATGTATTTACTTCTTTAGTTAATGTGCAAAATGAGTCATAAACTTAAAGTCCTCCAGTGTGAATCTGTTTGTTGACCTTGATTGAGTTAAAGGTCTGTGGACATTAAATTCACACATCACTGACCTTTTCCAGCTAAGTGCTGGGTATTGAAGTTTGAAGCCATCCAAGCACGGGCAGTGGAGTGGGATGAAAGCCTTCAGAGCTGGTGTTTGCTTGTTCTCTGTGGGCTTGGAGCAATGGTAAAAAATCAGGTCAGACTAAACATAGAGCTCTGACTCAGCTAAAATTGAGGGTGATGTGTCCCAGTGACAGAGAAGCTGAGATACATCTCACTCTTTGTTTATGGAGCCATAAAATCATTAAGGTTTGGAAAGATCTCCAAGATCATCAAGAGGAGTCATTAGCCCAGCACTGCCCCATGTCCCCAGGTGCCACACCCACATGGCTTTTCAATATCTCCAGAGGGCTCAACCCCTGCCCTGGGCATCCTGTGCCAGGGTTAAACCTTTCCGTGAAGAAATTTTCCCTAATATCCAAACTAAATATCCCCTGGTGCACCTTGAGGCTGTTCCTTCTTGTCCTGTCCCTTGTCACTTGGGAGGAGAGCCACAGCTGGCTGTCCCCTCCTGTCAGGGAGTTGTGCAGAGCCACAAGGTCCCCTCTGAGCCTCCTTTTCTCCAGGCTGAGCCCCTTTCCCAGCTCCCTCAGGAATTCTCCAGACCCTTCCCCAGCTCTGTTCCCTTCTCTGGGCTCACTCCAGCCCCTCCATGTCCTTCTTGTCATGAGGGGCCCAAAAGTGACCCCAGCGTTGGAGCTGTGGCCTCAGCAGTGCCCAGCACAGGGGACAATCCCTGCCCTGCTCCTGCTGGACACCCCATTCCTGATCCCATCCAAGTGCCCTTCCTGCACACCTGGGCTCACCTGGACACACCTGGGCTCACCTGGGCACATCTGGGGTCACCTGGGCACACCTGGGCTCATGTCCAGCTGCTGTCACCAGCACCCCCAGCACCTTTTCCAGCCCCTCCGTCCTCAGTCTGAAGTTCTGCTTGGGGTTGTTGTGAGCATCCACCTTCCCTAAAAGCTCACAAGAAGTCAGCACCAGCACTACAAAATCCAGAATCTTCTGTATTTTGGTGTTTTAGCTGCTGGACACTCTTTCTTCAGTGTTTTAATAGATATATTTTCTTTTGGATTGTATGGCAAAAAAATAAAATTTTAAGGATTCTATGTATAATCCAGTTTACCTGAGCCTGTCACAAGCTCACTTTTCAAAACAGAGCCTCATTTGTTTTTTAAAGGTGAGAAAACCAGTTACTCAAAAGTAAATATTGGGCCATTGAGGTGAATACACAATTATCTAATTCAGGCATGAGATTTTGGTGGAGGGAAGAAGTGGCAGTGAAGTACTTGCTAATGGGCTTGGTGTAAAATCTACTGCCTAAAATAAATTCCAATATATTGTGGAGCTGTAAAGTGTTTTGCCAGCCCTGATCAAAGTTAGAGTCGTACAAATTAATTTATAAATTGAAAACCAGAAGTATTTATAGATGTGAGATGAATTTGGCAAACGTTTAAGTCCAGAGAGTTAAAACTTCCCTTTGAAAAAGTCAGAATGTTTTGAAAACATTTCAATCTTTATTTTTCCAGCAAGTGTTCTGCAAATCTCTCACGCTTCCCCCCGTGCTTTTTTAAGGTTAAAATGAAATGGCAAGAAGCACTGTAAATCAAAACAAAATAAATCTATGGTATTTCAGATGAGCCAAGATGAAATTTCCAAAGATCTATTTCCCTTTGGGGAAAAGAAATATTTGAGAATGAAGACAACTCCAAATGATTCCCCTACTTCTAGTGTTTGTATTTTTATTTATTTTTAATTTGACAAGAAAACCACATAATTACTTGTTTATACACTATTAATCAAGCCCATTCCTAACCTAAAGGAAATTAAAATTTGAAGCAGGCATGGCACGAAATAGGGAAGAGAGGATAGGTTAATGGGAAATTGTGAGATTAATTTAAGGTGTTAAATTATTTTATAATTTTAACCTAAATTTACATCAAACAATTGTTCCTTCAAAGGATTGCTGGACTTTTGGTCTTAAAACCTTGAGTGGCAAATATATGAACAGAGCAATAACTCACACATTTTGAAACAAGACAGGATTTTTAAATTTTTTATTTATTTTCTCTGCCTATTTCTGATAAAAATATGTGATTATCCCAAAACCCTTAAGAGAGGACACCGAATTAATCACTTCCTACTGGCAGAGCTTTCTCCTGTGTCCTTGTGATCTGTTCCTGAAGTTCATCCCACTGATGTTTTTTTCCCACATTACATTTAACAGTGACAGGGTAAACTCAAGCCAAGGCTTGGCTCTCTTGACATCTTTCCCTTCTCTCCACCTCTTTGCAGCTGGATTTCTGAAAAGTTTTCTGCCTGTTGAATTCCTTTTCCAGTCCAAAGGGATTGGAAAATTGGAAAAAAAGAGGTGGGGTTTGGAGCAGCCTCAGTTTCTGGCCATAGCAATGGTCAAGGTGTCCCCTCCAAGCTGAGAGTGTTGGTGACAAGGGGACACTGAGATATGTGTGAGCTCCCACTTCCTTTTTTTTTGGAGTAAAAAATCACCATTTCCACGTTTTATGATTGAGGCAGCTCATTAATTACACATTATTATTATAGGAGTCCACGATTAATTACCTGAATTTATGGCCCCTGTTGTATTACAAACACAACTTGATCAGGGCTGACTGAGGAGAAACCACTCGAGAGGGGAAAAAGTCTGGTCACTGGGAATTTCCTGCTTTTCAGCTCCTTGATCTTCTCATCTGCATCAGAGATTCCATCCTTTTTTGATTTGGGGTTTGTTGTGCTGTGAATTATTGTGAGATCCAGGAGGCAGGGGATAAACCATGGAGCACAGATCCCACTGCTGCTGGCATGAATATTAGAGCTGCTGCCTGCCTGCCCTGCATAGCTGCTGGTGCTGATGGTTCCAGAGCATAAAGCAGCAGAATTGCTCCTGATCGTCAGAAAATAAAGAAGTTGTGGGGAAATGCTGATTTTTCAGCAGGCTCTGGGTTGCTCTAAAGCAATCATAAAATAAAGCTGGGTGCACATCTGTGCAGTGGTCCTGGAGAGCTCCAGCCTGCTGCAGGAGGCCATGAATGCCCAGGAATGTCTCCCTGAGGATGAGTTTTGCTCACTGTCTCTCTGTGCCCTCCCTGCAGGCGTCCAGCACCCGGCCCGAGTGCAGCATCATGCAGGAGATCGAGGAGGAGCGCAGCCAGTGCCTGGCAGAGCTCACCTGGGACAACCAGACCTCAGGTATGGCAACGCTCCCATCCCTCCCTGGCCAGCAAATCCACGTCCCCCAGCCCCACAGTGCCTTGCCCAGGTCGTTTCCCAGCCCTTCTGCTGCTGGAGCAAGGATTCCTCCAGCTGCTCTTCAGCAGGGAGGGAAATGGGTGTTTGCAAAGCACAGCTCAGTCAGCCAAGAGTTCCAGCAGCTCTGCAGCCTCCTGGCTGGGAAAGCCTAACTGAGGTGTTTCAGTGGGTTTAATCACTGTTGTCCACCTCTCTGAACTGGAATTTTACCAGTTTTTCCTTGGGAACTGAAAGCATGAAGTTCTTCCAGGCCTTGGATTACTTCAAAAGAAGTCATTGTGACCGTCTCCTTTGATTGAACTGCCCTCCCTCCCCTAAAAGCTTCTTCTGTCCTTATGGTGAAGCAGAGGGTGCTCCAAGGCTGTGAAGTATTTCTGGGGTTGGGACAGGCAGCTGAGATCCTCTCCTTGTTCATGGAGCACTCACCATACTGAGAAATCTCCCTGGAAGGGTCTGTGCTCTCCTTAACCCTCTTCCTGCTTCGATGATCAGGAAAGGAGGAAGGTTTTGGTGCTGCCCCATCCCATCCCATCCCATCCCATCCCACCCCACCCCACCCTGTCCTGCAGCAGAGCTGTCAGAATCCCAAGTTAAGGCATCCAGTTGGATCTCTCCCACCCCAAATGCCTCTCTCAAGTTACCAGCCCTGTGTCTGTCAGTAAAAGGTGTGTCAGGACCCATGCTGGACTCCCAGGATCCAAAAAGAAGGGATCATTTTGCTGGGAAAAGGGCTGGGAAGATGAATCTCAAATCCTGCTTGAGTTTTGTATCCCTCCTGCAAAAAGAGGGAAAAGTGGAAGAGGAAACTCTCCATTGGCAAAGTTTGCAGCCAGGCCACAGACTGAGGGAACAGAATCCTGGGACAAGCTGATCCCAGGAGGAGCTTCACTGGATGCCAGGAAGGCTTTTGGCCCCTGCTTTTATCTACTGAGGGATGGTTTTCTTTGATTTGGAAGCTGTTTCAAGTGTCCCTGTACAGTTAAATGGAACCTTTTAACTGGATTCCAGTAAAGGGAGAACTCAGGCTGGATAAAAACCTTCATCTGAAAGCCAGCTAAATGCTTCATTTCATTTTCATGGATATTTAAAGGAATTCAATTAAATACAGTACATTAAAGGGAGAAGAATAAATAGTTGAAGTGATAATAATACTTCTCTGCTTTTCCAAAATAATTTTTCTCATTGGAAAATTTAATCCAAACCAGCTTTTTTTGTTTTTTTTTTTTTCAACAACAGAACTAAACCAGTGCAAGTTTTTCCCAATTCTGAAGTTAAGACACATAGCCATGCTGCAAGTCATTAATGCCCAAAGCAAATACATGAAAATCCTTTGGAGGCTTTTTTTCCTGATGGAATGCTGAAACATTGGGCTGGGATAAATCTGCATTTCCACCAGTCACTACTGATGAATTGGAC